TTTGCATTGTTCGATGTTCCACTTCGAAGCCATTTTCAAGAAGTAGAAAAGTATGGCTGTACTGAGAGACACACTTTAGAGTTTTGATGTTCTGGTCTTGCCAAACCTTCGAGATGGTATGACCCTCATTGACCAATGTTTCATCCAAATAAAAAATAGATTTACCCAGTGTTCTGGCTTTCTTTATTTCTCTTAAATATTCTTTTTCCATCTTGTCTTCCAAAAGTGAAGTTCAGCTCTTGTAATATCTTCCATAATCTAGTTCTTATATCAAGAAAAAAACTGTCTTCAAGAATAACTGACAAAACTTTATTTACTGTAGGTATTTCGTTGTATTTATGTGAAAAGAGTGTACTATTCTCCTAATATGAAAATTTCATAATGCAAGACGTTTCAATCAATCAATCAATGAATTATTCATTTCGAAACTGTAGGCTGGCTAGGTTATAGGAACACACAAATTTCAATGATCAACTTACCTAAACATGCACTTATTATGCTTGTACTATCAGCCACCAGACACTCTATCGCCTGTTGGTGTCCCTCTAGGATAACTGGCACAGCCTCCAACAATACTTGATCTTCCTGTGAAAACTCATCTCCGGATTTTTCATTGAACCACGATGCTCTCCACTCAGCATAATTGCGGGAACAAATGCAACGATAGAGAACAACAAAAGCATAAGCTAAAACTAAGATACTGATGATACACAAAATAGTCGTTAGAAGAATCTCCATAGGGGAAGTGGGATAAAAAGGCTGTTCTGACTGGGGCATCGCTGAGGTTCCAGCAGATTCAGCATCTGTAATTTTCAGTAACAGTAATTAATCAATGAAAAAAAATATTTTCTGTTGGTTGAAATAGTTGATTTTTGTCCCTTAAGTAGGACAAAAGAGTACCAATGACTATATGAATTTGCAGGAGTAGAATGATAGGAGACTTGTGCTAAAATCAATAGGTAGTTAAATAGGCGTAAAAACTTTTGAAAATGTCACATTCTAATCCAGAAATGAATGAGAAATAAAAAATGTGAAAGTGAAAAATATGTGAAAACTCTACTCTTCACATACCATTTACCTAAACCAAATATCATTTTGATACAACTAATAGTCTGGAAGTTATGACTTGTTTAATAGATTCGTTGACACCCGGAATATATAATGACATAATCTGAAGTCCGGGATAAATAGAGTCTGGTTATTAGTTTTCAAAATCAGTTGGTTTCCTACAAACAGTGGTTGATGAAAAATTTGTAATACTAGAAATGTGAATTTGGTACTTACCAAATAAAACAATATAGAAAGAGTAAATAGGCCTACCCAAATATCATTGGTTTCTACAAATAACATTTTCTTAGAAAGTGAAGAAACTGAACATTTATTAAAAATTGTTTCAATATCTCTTCACTGCAATATTATCCAACTATTAGAAATATAAAAACCTGTTAGGGTTTCACAGTATGTAGTATAATTTTCAAACATGACAATCGTAGAAGCCAACTGCAAGCTTGAGAAAAAATTAACATAAAACTATAAAGTACTTATTTAATGTAACACTAAAACAGACATCATTCCCGAATCCACCGATTATGTAAACAAAACAAGTGTATGAGGTGAAAACTACCTATTAAATAACTACTTCAATTGGGCAATTTTATAAGTTTGTTGTGGTTGAAACGTAACATCTGTAAAACATAAAATCTGTGAGATTATATATCTCACCACCAAATAAAATTGGTTTTTAGTCATTTCTTTGAGATATATTTTACTCATTTACACATCTCTTCAGAACACTCTGTGCATATTCACAGTATCTGAATTTCAAACATGGACACTCAAAATGTATTTCATACATACCTCAGCCGTTATTTGACATACTAGTCCATTTTCTGAGTATTATAATTACTATAAACATTTGAATGTATAGAATTGAATTATAATTTCAATAAAAGTACGAGAACATTAACTGTAAATTATTTCATCAGTCAGTTATAACTAACTCATATGAATTGAAAACAGAATGTAACTTAATCATTCATTCGACCTGTATTATTGATATAATAACCATTAACAGTGAAAATTGAATGATCAACATTTTTTATCTAAATGAAAACATCCTTTTGCACAAAGGCAAACATTATCTTCCATGTATTGGTATATCTTGATAACACATGAAGAAATGGAATTACTGATTAAATTTTGCCAGAAAAATAAAACTTGGAAAATCAAAGCACTTTGGGCGTAAGCTGTGACAAATAAAATGTGAATTAGATATCAGTCACTGCCTGCTTTGAACCAGATAAATATTGAAATTTAAAGAAAAAACACTGAACATGTAAGGCTTCAATAAATGAAAGTGGTATTTATTTTTTATTTGTAATTCAAAATACAGGTAAATCTTTCAAATTAAGAAGTTTAATTTTTATTGAGAAAGGTCTTTTTTTATGAAAATCAGAATATAAATCTAATCTGAGAAAGAATAAATATCTTATCCTGTCTTTTTTTACTTCAGTTTAAAACAAGTCTGAATAGTATTCATTAAACGACAATTTTTTGTGGGGGACTCAATATTTTATACCGTCTTTTTGGGTCTACAATCTTACAGAATCTGAAAAAATAAAAGCTAAATCAATAGAAAATCTGCTGAAGTGTAGTAAAGTGAACTTTTCTGAGTGAGCTGAAAAGTTCACTCAGAAAAGTTACTGCGTAATATAAACTACTGGAAAGTCCAATTAGTCAGTAACTTGCCATATTCATGAATTTTGCCCACAAATTGAAAAAATCAATTCATAAAAAAATTAAATATTGATAATTAGCTTTCTTAAGTGGTTAATGTTTCGGAAAACAATCTTTTTTCGTTTTTGAAACCTGTATTCACTATAAAAATCTCGCCTCAAACTGTGATGGTTCTAATTTCTTTTGACACAAGTCAAAAGAATGGAATGTCCCGATGTCACATGTGACAGTCTACATCAACACATATACTGCATGTTTTTGGAGAATTTAGTTCAGATAAGGTGGATATTTTTGTTTTCAACCACAGAACTGTGCGAAATACACTTGTTACCTGCCAAAGTAATATATGTGTATTCTTTGAGTTTTCTAATTTTTCCATGAGTTTCTTTTGTGATGATTTTTGTTTCACTTCATTCTATTGAGTGATCACCAGATGATTTTAGATTTATAGTGAACACAGGTTTCGAATATAAAAAGGATTGTTTTTTGAAATGTTAATCATTAAGAAAGCTGTGTATAAATATTTAATTTTTTTTCAGCAGATTTTTTCAATTTGTGGGCAAAATTTATGAATACAACTGACTAATTGGACTTTCCAATAGTTTATATTACGCAGTAACTTTTTGGGGTGAACTTTTCAGTTTGCCCTTTACTATACTTCAGCAAACTCTATATTCAGATTTAATTTTTTCAGATTGTGGAAGGTTATAGACCCAAAATGACTGTATAAAAAATCTGAATAACCATCAAAACATCTTGAAGTAACATAATTTCTTTTATTTTCAATTTCAAAATTTTGGTGACTTTTAACCTTGCCTATAGGTTTTGTCGTTTTATTTATTTTGAAAACTAAAATTTGAAACTATTTTCAAGTGGTACTTTTATTTCACCATATTGGTAGGAGTAAGTTAAGTTTAAGTACTCACCTCTGAAATCAATTGGATCTAAAGCTGCAGCTAAAGCCTGCCATTGGAACTTTTCCCCATACTTCTCATCTGGATTCCTCAGCAAAACTGCCTGTTCCGGTCTCACAACATGGGATATCTTTATATTTGGTAATACCGCAATAGTCTGACCACTCAGAGACACATTATAATTTTTTAGTATGGCATACCAGTGTCTCGATGACAGCTTTAACCAGGGTGCATATTCCGAATGTTTCAGTTTTTCTAGTTCAACTGTACCATTTTGTTGATACTCAACCTCTATGGGGTTATAAGTAACATAGTTCACCTCAATTGGTCTGTTCGTTGAAATGGGGAACACTCTTATTGACGAGTAGTTTTCTAGGTTATGAGTTGCATTGTCGTCACCTCTGTCATCAATGACTGCTTTGACAATATACTGATTGATCAGATCACTATTATAAGCGATCACACATATCCAAATAATCATCAAAATCATGAACGAACGTTGGAAAAATCTGGTGCGTGCCCAAATATTAACAAGTCTGACTCTTTTAGGAATCTTTTTCTCCTGTACACCTTGTGTTTGCCCTGCTACAATATTCGCAGGAAAAGAAGAGAGTCTTGGGTGTGATTTGGACCGGTTGAGTCCCTTCATATTGGTTGGTTTATTGAAGAAATTCTGTTGGTGATAGAGACCGTTTCGTAAGTTCTGATTCATGTTTTCAACAGAGTTCACCAGACGACTCATATCTAAACCAAGTATGGTTAAAAAGAAGAATAGTTGCAAAAAATAATCCGTTATCAAAGCAACTATTGAGAAAATGCAAAATTCCTGAATTGCAGGTACAAAAGTGAATAGACCAAACGTTAACACTGTTATTTCAAGGAACAAGTTCTTTGTAATTGACCATCCTTCCTTGCTCAGGCCTTGAGCATTTCTTATTTTCACATCCAAGTGTAATGGAGTGGCAACAACACTTTTCGTCAGAACCAGCACATTCTCGAGACCAACAAGTAGGATAAGATAGGGAATTATCCCTTTACCACTTTCAAAATTCAAAGTCAATCCAAAAAAGAAACAAACACCCATAGTCATTGTGAGACTGCAGAATATTGTAAATGTTGCTGTGAGTGCCATCCCTAGTTTGGATTTGATGAGCTCAATTTTTCTCACACTGAAGTAATAGTAAAGAAACACTAGGACGAAGGACACTATTATTGGCACTAGTTCGATATAATTTATTTCACCTGGATATTGTATTAGAACCGTGTCATTCATTATATAGTTATCATTTTTTGAGTCATTTTGATGCAAGGGATAAAGTGAAATTAGTTTTTTCCTTAATCCTTCTATAAATCTGTAAAAAGAGACGGAATAATATATGATATTTGGCAGTATTGTTTGAAACTTACTCATAATCATATTTCGTAAAGAACAAAGTTACTGCGTATTGTATTATTCGTTGGCGATTTCTGATAGGATATCGCTTGATACCAGCATCAAAAAGATGCATTCCAAAGAGCATATCTGATACAGATGTCTTCCCTTTTTGAAAACTCTGAAATAGTTTGAATGAATGTTAATTCAACTGAATTGACGAGTTAAAAATAAATAAATCTGTTTTTCCGTTAATCAGCTGCCGCCCCCATACGAACGACAACTCTCAGAAATTGAGAAACTTGTGCGAGTTAAGGACTAACGAGGTCTTACCTTTTAACGTATGATTCCTAACACGGTTGCAGAATCATTCCAGCTTCAACCAGATAAATTCTCTCGAGAAAAATATTTGGTCGAAGCGGGAATCGAACACACGACCTTCCAATCGTGAGTCGTACGCACTACCACCGCAGCCAATTCCACAACAAAATAAATACAGACTTCAAGTGATATATAATTTTAAAAAAATTCATATTTCTTCGAGAATAAGACTTACATGATGACTAAAAATAGTAGTGAGTAAAGAGCTGTCCTGGGAAAACTGCAGCACATCTTGATTCCAGAGATTCGCAGGAGATAAAACAAGGCAACTGTACTGAGGCAAAATATTTGTTCGATCCATTTTTGTCTTCTTAATGGCTTCAATATGAAGGCATACATGACCCAAAGTTTTCAAACTGAAATATGAAAGTACGTCTCAAATATATTGAAAGGGACTATTTCAGTATGATAGTCCCATGAATCATTTGTATAATAATTGTTAAGAATTATATTTCATGAAAAAAAAAAAGAAAACAGATGGAACAAGTCTAGTGAAATATAATTTAGAGTTAAATCAANCAGGCCCCCTCAAAAATAAACCATAACAACATTGAAAAAATATTTTATGTTAGTAATGCAATTTGTCTGCCAGATTAAGGTAGAATAACAGACAAAACTTTCAAGTTATAACCTTTTTCATTCAATTCCTATAAAGTTGTATTTGTCTGATATACCGACGGCTCAAAAACCAATAATTCAAGTAGGCTACAAGTTTAGTTGGAAAGTGCAGTAAGAGCTTTAATTGGCAGGTTTCCTTCGTGCACACAATAATGTTCAAAGAAATGTATAGAATGCAGACAAGACAGGCGGGTTAAATAAGAAAATAAACAGATAAAATTGAAATTATAAAAATAAAATGTTTTTTATACAAAAGGTAAATGTACTGACATGCTTGGTACAAAAGTGAATAGACCAAAGGTTAACACTGTTATTTCAAGGAACAAGTTCTTTGTAATTGACCATCCTTCCTTGCTCAGGCCTTGAGCATTTCTTATTTTCACATCCAAGTGTAATGGAGTGGCAACAACACTTTTCGTCAGAACCAGCACATTCTCGAGACCAACAAGTAGGATAAGATAGGGAATTATCCCTTTACCACTTTCAAAATTCAAAGTCAATCCAAAAAAGAAACAAACACCCATAGTCATTGTGAGACTGCAGAATATTGTAAATGTTGCTGTGAGTGCCATCCCTAGTTTGGATTTGATGAGCTCAATTTTTCTCACACTGAAGTAATAGTAAANATATGATATTTTTATTGCATCATGTAAAATTATGTTTACCAAAGAACCATTAAGCTAGTTTACAAAGATATATAATTATAATCAAACATGAGATAAGGAACTGGAATTGCAAGGTCGTTTGAGAAAGTTGTAAAACGCATTTTTTTGAATTCATATTTTATTCATATGTACATAGATCTGAAAAGTATTTTCACTGTTCTAGTCAAGGAAAGTGATTGCAATGTTTCCCAAATATGTCATGTTTTAAGTTGAATACAGTTTGGTTAGTTAGTTTTTGAAAACTCAATTAGGCCTTCATAGTAAAAAACTAGTAATTGAAAATACTGCAAATAATTCCAGAAGAGAAAAACTATAAAAAATTCTATAAATTTCGACAACTAAGTAAACTCAATTTGTGTTGAAAACTAATTCAAATAAAAAACGACAAAATGTGCACATACAATCTTGGAATTACCAATCTCAAATATGTGAAAAGTGGTCTTTGTTATGATGTTATACCAACAGTCACTCCATAAGTATTGGAGGAATTAGATATTGTTCAACTGGTATAACTCTTTTTTTTTTTAGGTATTGCAGATCAAATATAAGTTAGGGGAGTATGTTAAACAAATCAATCAATCTTGATGAGATTTGCAATACATGAAGAGAGGTAATATGAACCGAAATTGAGCATGAGAGGAAAATCAAATTCGTTAACAGTTCCAAAATAAGCTGACTTCCTCAATATTTGACTTCAGATATTGACCGCCAATTTGATGACTGACTCGTCTGTTTCTTTAACCTAATTCACAACATAATCAGAATGAATTTGGACATTTTCACTTCCATCTTATCAACCAGTAATTTTATTGAATTTGTATATATTTGTATACAGGGGTGCGCAAATGTCCGGAATAAAATTAATATCTTTTTTATTTTAGGAAAAAAAAAACGCTGAAACACGTCAGTTGATTTCACGTTGTACGCATTTTTTGGCAATAAAATGATTTTTTTTCCAACCCCTTAGCTGAAACACTCCCCAACTTTTTTTTTTCAAATGCAAACCTATGTCGTGTATGGGTTCATTGAAAAGCTTGTAAAAAATGGAATCTAACCATACCCTTTATTTTTTTTTACTCATGCGGTTACCACGAAATGAGAAAAAACTCTTTTACAACCAAAAAAGTTAGAAATACCTACTTAGTGCTATCTACGGGTGAATCAACATTGCAAAAAACAAATAAGTGGTGATGATGTACATTGCTCAACAATTGCTAAGATTCACCAGTACCTACTTTCTAAAAGTTTACAAATTTTAAGAACAGACCAACCAGGCCAGGCACCACAACAAATTTTATTGATTTATGTGTAAAACTGATAACGTAATGTAGCATCAACATTCTGTGGATTTTATTTTTTCACCAAAAACTTAACATAAAATTAGTTCCATCCCAAGCAACTGTTGACCAGTGTACCTCAAAATGAGAAAAAGCTTGTTACATTTTTTGTACCAAAATGAATGCCCTGATAAGAAATATTGTCTTGACTCAGTTTAAAAATTGTGGCATTTCTGGGTGAAATTGAAAATATGTATGTTTAGTTTATTAATTGGGTACCTTCAAAGTGTTCTTTTTTAATTTGCTAAACAAAAATGGTATTGTCAGAGAGGTAGTGTATGGAAGTCTTGATATTGTTGGGATGTGGGGATAGAATGCGGAGTCAAAGTGAGGTGTGTACTTTATTTAATGCAAAATATCCGGAAAATCACATTTCCTAGGCTACTGTGAGTAGGATCTTACACAAATTTGAAGAACATGGTACAATGAAGGACTTGCCCAGAAGTGGCCGGCCACATGTTTTAGACGAAGATCAAAAATTGGACATTGCCGTATCTGTGCCGGAAGATCCACATTTGTCAACGGTTTCATTAGTCCAAAACAATCCTGCGTCTAGACGTACGATTGAGAGGTTTTTGAAAACAGAAAAATACCACCCATTTAAGGTATGTCTTGTCCAAGAGCTCTTGGAAGATGACTATGACAGGCGTTTGCAATTTTGTGAGGGATTAATGAGGTGATGTGACGAGAATAATGGGTTTCCACTCAACATACTCTTTTCGGACGAAGCTACTTTTTATTTACATGGAGTAGTTAACAGGCACAACTATCGATTCTGGAGTCAGGAAAACCTACACTAAATATGCAAAGCTCGTATGCGTAAATGTATGGGCAGGCATCATCAACAACAGAATATTAGGGCCATACTTTTTTGAGGGAAACCTTACAGCTACACGCTACTTAGACAGATCCAGATATCCCCACTGAAACACTTTGGTTCCAACAGGACGGCGCTCCCCCACATTATCTCGACATTATATCTCAATGACATATTTGCAGGACGCTGGATTGGACGACGTGGTACAATTGAATGGCCGCCAAGATCCCCAGACTTAACGCCACTAGATTATTTTTATTGGGGATATATGAAAGACAAGGTTTATCAAAATAGGCCGGCTAATATTGAAGATATAAAAAGCAGAATTAGAGTGGAATCACATAACATACCGGCTGAGGCCATTCGAAATTCCGTAGACGGGTTTTATCATCGTCTAGGAGCCTGCCAAGTAGAGGGTGGAGGCCAATTTCAGCATCTGTTACATTAATTCACCCGTAGACAGCACTAAGTTAGGTATTTGTAACTTTTCAAAAGAGTTTTTTCTCATTTCGTTGTAATCACAAAAAAAAAATAAAGAGGTATGGTCAGAATCCATTTTTTACAAGCTTTTCAATGAGCCCATACACGACATAGGTTTGCATTTGAAAAAAAAAAGTTGGGGAGGGTTGCAGCTAAGGAGTTGAAAAAAAAATTCATTTTATTGCCAAAAAATGCGTACAACGTGGACTAGAACTATCAAATACTGGTTACACCCTCATAGAAAGCCTTGTCAAAATAATGTGAAAATCTCTTGTGATGGATCTTCTTTCTCTAGCTACTTATGGGACCCTATGAACCATGTAGTAACAAAAGAATCTGACCCTGAGTCTACAGAGGAGATGGACATTGGGTAAATAACCCCAGCTGTTCTTCCTGTAATATGAGATCAAGAGCAGGAGCTTCTCAGTTCTTCAATTCTTGATATCAACCAAACAACTAGAATCTAATCTAGAGTAATGACACGTCTGAAGAAGCCATTGTAATGCAAAACACATATTGCATTTTTGTAAAACAGTTTAGTAAAAATCTCAAAATAAAGTGTTTTTTTGAATAAACTAGAATATTTTCTGTATGCAATTATGGCTGCTGTAGAGGATATACCTACCAGATGATGATTCACAGGTACAATGGGGAATGTTCCTCCTGATGAAAATCAAGTAGTTTTCATAAAAGAGCTCTAAAACAACGCATTTTAAACTTATCATTTCTACCTTTTTCTTTAAAAAATTATTTAAATACTTGAAAAAGATTGTTCACACTATGACGAAAACAAGAGAAATGGGTCGATATGTTGGACTCTTCACTTACCATGATACTACAATGATGACACTTGCTAAACATAATACACACACTGGGTAAGTTATACAAAAAAGACCCAATGTATAGTAAAATGTTGCAACTTTTTCATGCAGAGAAGACTTTCCTCTTGCCCCCCTGTGGTGGGGCTCCTCACTTGGAAGGACCATTCAAGTACTATGTAATACTGCCCAACATATTTTCCTGGGTAAATATTGAACCTGAAAAAAAGAATTGGGGAAATGTCAAACAAACATTTATAATATTCATGAAATTATTTTTGCTGAAACTTGACAATTCTACTTGCAACTTAAAATTAAAATAATTTCAGAAAATTTATTAATGACTGTTTAGCTGAGCCATTTTGGATTCTTACATTTATTTTTAGGCCACTACTCTACTCCCGAATATGTTTTGTCCTTTCTTTAACAGAGATATCGTGGGTTCTGTTAACTTAACCATTTTGTTGAATCTGACTACTCCAATGATTTCAATCTCATTTTAGGCTCCTGTTCCCACTCATTTATCACCGATTTTCCAAGCGTAGTTTTTTCAATCACAAAAAATTTTGTTTATATTTTTAAAATGAGAGAGAAATCGACCAGCTTAATGGAACCCATAATATCTCAAGATAAGGAGCAGAACATTCGTAAATAGAGTACAAAATTAACCTAAATTATGGTCCTAAAATAAATATATTAATGCCAATTTGTTCTGCTAGTTCACTAGGGGTAAATTACTGATCATTCCTCTTTAGTATTAGTGTATTGTTTATTTTAATTCACATGGTATCTGTTAAATGTAACGTAAAACGGAAATTTAGTTATGGTAATTATAAATTTATATACAAAATAAGTCACATTTTTGGCGCCAATGTCCACCACTATACAAACACTTCCAAATTTTCTTTCTGAGACTGTTTTTTAGGCATTTTTATGAAAACTTCATCTTTAGATTTGTGACCACCGGTGGACATGTGTCCCCAGAAGACTGAATGATCACCTGTGTTTAATTAGTTTTACTTTGTTAATATACCCACAGATCTGCTCAAGGTCTTTTTTTTTTGTTTACAGATATTAACTGTGAAAATCAGGAATTTTTCAGTTGAAAAAAGCCAATACTGAAACAACTAAAACTGCCTCCTCCCAATCTATTTTTAATGTTCTCTCAGGCCGAAAAATCAACAAATACATGCAAAATCCATATAGTGTCCTTTGCATATGGCAATGAATGAGTAAACTCCAAATGCCCACGTGTGGCCAAGAGTTCCGAATAGACAGACCTGACAGTGTCCACCCGTAGGTAGTCGGTGTTGAAAGTGTCAAGTGCTATAGTAGCTCCCTTTTGACTACTTAATATTAACTTTTCGTTTATTCGATGAGAGTACTGCTAAACTAAGAAAGTTAACTGGTGGTGTACAAAGCAAATATATTTAATAATAATAATAATAATAATAATATTGCCCTTATTATAGCTGTCTTGGTGTGACAAGTGGTGACAAGTGGTCACTGATTAATAAAGCCCCTTTAAAGTAACAGAGCTTCATCAGGTAAAGGGCCATGGATCTTTTTCAATTTGCAAGTAATAATAACTTTTCTGCTGCTACATAAGTAAAATACAGAGCCTGAGTTCTCCTTTGACAATACTAAAAACCTCAACTTATCAAAATAACCTATCTTTGCCTTCTTCAGGTCAAATGGGTTAGAAACAGAGGGTAATCAATGTAATGATACAGTGAGCAATGAATATTCATATTACATTTTGTGTGTAATATATCATTGTCATGGATGCTAGATTTATACTTGTTTTTAAAGTCACTGTAACTTCGAGAAACAAAATATTTATCAAGTACCATTTACTAATTGCATCATTTTTTAGAACATTCTACTCTCCTTAGATTCCATTGGAACTTTGGACATAAAATCTGAAGCACCCTCTCAACGCACGTTTAGGTAACCAATTTAATATTATGAGATGGCTCATCTAATGATGTTATGATAACTTAGCAAAATGCACGTCCAGACACAGTTTTTTTAGTTCTGGTTTATTTTTAGTTTAGTTCTAAAACATTTACTTTATAGCCATAATTAATTATCATGATTCAGTTATTCATTATTTTTTCCCCTGGTATATTAGTTTTATTATGTTTTCATTTATAACTCTACAGAAGTCAAGGTTAATCAAGATAGACTGAGTGGAAATTTGTGTTGTAAACTCAAGAGTCAATTGGAAAATAAAAGTACCTACGTAAATTAGCCAATATCAAAACGACGCTAGAGATGAGAAATACTGTGAAGGATGTTTTTACTAACTGATATCAACAGAACTATTATGAGTATAAAATCACATGGGATAAAATTGATGCGGCAAAGAAAAAATCTGTGTCGTTTCCTAAATGACAATTAGTAGTGTGAATCACGATTTGATAGGAAAACAATTTATCGGAACCTAGACTGCAATATAACCTAACATTAATTCATTACGTGTTATTACATTTTTAAAATAACATACGAAGTAATATACAACTTACCATAAGAGGGCGATATTTTGATTCACAATCTTTTTTAAGTCCTGATTCAGCGCAACAAGAAAAAATAATAGATTTACAAACCCAACTACATTTAATTCTGAAACTTTCAAGTATTGTTGTTTATTATTACCAGTACCATAGATGAGGTTCAAATAAATTTCTCAGTATCTAGTACTTAGTCATATACCATTCGTATTTCATTTGGACACACTGTCAATAATTGAAAATAACGTCATGTGTCATACTATTATGTCATGTTTCTAATTTCGCGGAACGGCAGAACCATAGTAGATCGATAAAACTTCAAATAGTGAAAAGTGACACCTTCAGTAGAATTAAGGCGCATTTTCATGGGCAGCAAGCACTGCAATAGCGATGGAATTAAACAGATTTTACTGCTTGAGCGGCAACTATTTAGAAGAGATCAAACTGTGTCTGAATACTGTATCGAGGAGAGATAGAGGCTAGAAATACGTTTTAGAAAATAAATATTTTGAAATAAAGTCTCGAAACATTCATCTCTCCCAACTGCCTACACTTTGGGTTCTGGTAAATACCTGCCGGCAAACAACTACTTTCCCACCTAATACCACGCTGTATCTGTTTAAAATCTGTTTTTCCGTTAATCAGCTGTCGCTCCCATACGAACGACAACTCTCAGAACTTGTTAAAATTGTGCGAGCTAAGGACTAACGTTATATATAGTATCGCACATGTCTTTCGTTCATCTAGGTGCAGGACCATGCTGAAGTTATTCGAGTAAATCAACTACAGTCCGTTGTGGAGGTATTACCTCTCACCAGTACAGGAAAGATCCGGCTCAAACAGCAAAGTGCCTGGGACTCGAATAATTTCCTTGCAGTCCAACTGCACGTATGAAACGTTCGTCTAAGAGAAAGATTGTTAACTAGTAACAGCTCCATCTCGTGAACAAATCCCCAAACGGGAACAAACATCCAATATACCAATACTCTAACTGTGTGAAGGAGAACAGTTTGGTTTTTTCATCATATTGCAATTCTATTATATATCAATCGTTGATAATGTCAATAACAACAAGAGCTAGAATATTACTGGAAATGTATCTCAATACCCAACCGTTATTATTTCAACACGCTTTTATTAGCTTCAGCTGAATGTATGTATGTTTGTTTGTTTGTAACTCTTAAGCTCGGGATCTGTATTTGACAGAATTATCGACATTATTGCTTGATCTCTTCGCGGGTAGATGGCGCTGTACGTAACCTCCTTGATATAATTCGAACTCACTACATGTATTTCTTCATTTGAAAAAAGTATTTTTTCTACCACGCGCGCCTGCTGCCTTGGGCTTGGTAGCTGATTTTCAGGCTCCCTCTCCGGAATCGGAAAATATCAGTGGTCATTTTTCTAAACAGTATACGGCTGATTGATCCCAAAGTTCAGTTAGAATAAATGATATAGTTTAAAAAAATAAAAAACACGCTATTAAAGAACATCGAACTAAAAAGTTAAAAATAATTTTCTTTCAAGTAAGCTTAAAACAATAATCACCGAAAAATACTAGTATTATTGTGAAAAAAGCGTGGGCGCTGTGTGCCATATTTTTTGTATATCAAGCGCCCGTCGCTTTTTTCACAATAATACTAGTATTTTTCGTTCGTCATTGTTTTAAACTCAAAAAAAAATATTTTAAACTTTTTAGTTAGATGTTCTTTAAAAGCGTGATTTTTAGTTTTTTAAACTATTTTTTTGTTAAATCTTGACACGTGTTTCAGTCACCAAGTGATCATCTTCAAGAGAACAATAAAACAGTCAATTCTTTCTCTTGAAGATGATCACTTGGTGATTGAAACACGTGTCGAGGTGTTGAAAATAAAGGTTTGGTGTTGGGATAGAACTCCAGTAATATTCATTACTACACCAAAGGTTCCAAACTGTACATCACAAGAACAAGAGCCTCGCTGAACGTTATTTTGAATTCACTAGTCATTATGAAGAACTTACTCTTACATTTGCATAAACGATTGGTACTGAAGAGTCCTAAGACAAGTGTCTTACAGCGAAACATCGGATGTCTACCAATGAGAATGACAGTGTTCCATGTTAGTTCAATTTTACTTCTTTCATTAATTATGTGAATGATATCTGACTCGATTCTATTACGAATGTTTGAAATACAAACGGAATAGAGAAACGTGTTTTTCGTATAATTCAGAGTTCTTATAGAAGTATTTGTTTCGAAAACATTTTCTTTCGTGTCATTCAATGTTTCTATGAAAAGAGCTGTTTCGAGAGGGCTTTTTCTTTCAGTTTGTTCTGAAACTTACTTATTTGCATGATCTACACACATCTTTGTATAGAGTTAAATTTTGTAATTGATTGTTTCGTTGCTTTCTGTAGAAGATTCCCACATTTTTTGTATCACGATGGAGTAGCCAAAAACCAAAAACTTTCTTTCCCAAAAAAGTAATCGACCCTAAAAATATAACCCTTCAAATTTAAAGAAACATATTATTAAAACAAATGTTCGATTGTTTGTGACTGTGGCTCCTGATGAAGTTGACGATCAAATTATCAGACGTAGATGTCCGTCCGTGATCTTCCAAAAGTTTTTATTTCACTGGAAACTCAAATATAAAGCAACGTTCGCAAGAGGTTGGTTGATGATGTGCAGCAAACGATTCAAACAGATTTTCTTCAAAAAAAAGGGGGTTTGCTTAGTCGTGTTTGAAGTAAGTGTGTTTTGATTGTATTTATTGAGGGTAAAGTTAATGTACCACTGTAAAAAAATAAATATTTTGCTATCCATTTTTTATTGATTTGTCATTTTCAGTCCATTCAGATTATTAAGGATGTTCCTATACATTGGCACTCGATCGGTTTGAACTTGTATAATACTTTGAAGTTACCCTCTCGAATAACCTCCCATGGTTCCAAATCAGAACACGTTAAGTTCTCCTCACAAACTCCCTGAAAAAGAAGTTACAATTATTAGTTATATAATATCACAGCACTGAATTCAAGTTTAGACCTTCAATGTTTTGTATCTATTAAGCGTTGATCTATTTTTCAATGATTTTCCACATGGGGCATAGCATGTCATCAAATTCGCCAACGGCCAAATGTGGGGTTGTATGACGTACAGAAACTTCAGGCAAAGAACTCTCGAGCGATCAACAATAACTCCTGTTGGATGTTTTCTACACTTAGCTCCGTTAAGAACTGGTGTAAGAAGTGAAAATCTCCGACTATGCTTTGAGTCAGAGGTTCTCAAACTTATTTTGTCTACCGGCCACTTCGAGAATTAATTTCTTTCTTGCGCTCCCCAATTTTTTTTCTTTACTACATCTACTACTACTACTAATTACTACTACTAATTAAAATATGTGTGTCATGTGAAATAAGACTTTCTGATGAGGGTAATGTAAAACACCATTTTGTAATATTAGGAAAACTTTTGTTCATGTTATTTAAACAAACATGTCAATTTGAATTTCAAAACTAATCCAATGTGAAGAATGAATTTGATGTTTCAAGTCGTCACCTTGAAGTTGGAGATTGACATCATTGAATAATTCATACAGGTCTATCAAGTAAGCAATATCATTCTTTGAAGTGATTTGGAGTTTTGAAAAGTAGATAACTACACATGATTATTTTCCTATCTGTACCAGTAGAACCGTTTTTTACTGGTACAGATAGGCAAATAGGTAATTTCGTCGAATATGTCAATTCTATTCGCCCGTCAATAAAATTCACCACTGAAAGGGAGATAAATAACTCAATAAATCACCTTAATTTGACTCTTACTAGAGATAATAATAAACATGATTTTGCAATTTTCCACAAACCATCTTATACGGACATAGTCATACATAATTCCTCCACACACCCTTACCAGCAAAAAGGAGCTGCATTCAATAATATGCTCCACAAACTATTGAATATTCCATTCCATTGCTGGGAAGTAATTTCCAGAGAGAGAGCTAAGTTTCATCAAACAACGGTTCCATTATTTCCAAAAACTACAAAAGCAAGCCATGGACCAGCTCTACCCAATTTCAAAATACGATAACGTCAGCCAAAGGACATTGTCATATTTTGGTGAACCCACTAATAATCTCGCCCGTTTTTTGAAAAAAGAATGCGAAAACGTAGCTTACATAATAACTAATAATCTTAGTTAATTTATTAAAAATAATAAAAACAAAACTTCGGTGTCTGATCGATCAGGAGTATAAGCTGACTTGTAACTCTTTACCAAAACTGTATATTGGCCAAACAGGGAGAACTTTTTCCCAAAGAATTAAAGAGCATAGAAGTAGTTTCTTGAATAGAAAGATCAATTTCACATTTGCAAACCACCTTTTAGCAGAAGCACAAGCGTTCAATTATGGAAACGACTGGTTACATTTGGTAGAGAAAAGTTTGAAACTCAATCTTCTGGAATGTCTAGAAATAAAAAGATTCAAGAAATCGGCTAATTTACTGAATGACCAAACATAAACAAATAAGTCCCCGTTACTGAATATTTTTTCAAATATGGAAACTGATACATAAGCTCAGGTCATTTGATTCATTACAAACTCAAGTACACATAAAACATTAAATGCCTAGGTAAACCTCAGGTAGGTACTTCAAATTTTAAAATTAAATATATTAAGTATCTAGAATTTAGTTAGTAAAATTACAACCGAAGAAGCCATTGTATGGCGAAACACGTGTTGCGTTTTTGTAAAACTGTTTAGTGAAAATCTCACAATAATGTTTTTTTAATACGTTATGGATTTTCATCAAGTATCGACCAATTCCATCATAAAATATAAAAGAAAAACCAATCTCCAACCTTTCTTCAATGTTTTAGACTATCAAGGTTTAAAGTGATATTCTTGTCTCCAATCAGGTAAATAGCTCTTTTTTGGATCGAATCCAGCAGCTTTAGGACGGAGCTTTATACATGAGAACAATACTCCAAAGAAGGTCTAATATGAGCATCAAAAATTGCTGTTTCAGAACAGTGTTCCAAGCTTTTGAGAAGCAGCCTTTGCAATTTCAGCGACACGATTGTTCCAAGACATATTGGTGTCCATTTTCACTCCTAACAAATATTCGAAGCAGAAAGCGGAATTGTCTGTCCTGCCATTATTATATCCGGTTCGGAGACATTTATCNTCATTGTAGATTCTACTGTGGGACTAGTGGGTGATGCCTTTCCCGGTAAATCGACTGTGGAGTGGGACGCAAATTGTTCAGTTAGCAGATTTGTTTTTTCTATGGTTGTTGTTGCAATTGAACCATTGGCAAGCATTTTATCCCTAATTCTCTTATTGTGAAGTTCTTTGCTTGCAGTTATTGCGAGCATTAACAAACCTAGTTCGGTTTTCGACACTGGTGTTTTTGCGCCACTGCCGGTGGGCGAGATTTTTGGAGGCGACAGCTTGCTCGCAATCTTTGTTGAATCAGTGTTTGCTGTTAGAAGTTCGTTTCTTTGAAAAAGGAATGTATGCTTTGATTTGATTTTCGGAAATGGTCTTGAAGATCCTTCCACTCTGCAGATCTGTGATGCCAAGCTTTGTGCGGTTTAGATTGTTCCCCAACATTTATCGGTACCTAATTCACTCAACACTGAAATGAGTTTGTGATCAGAAGATCCCAATGGAGACCTTACGATGAATGTGTAAATTTCTGGATCGGTTGTTAGGTATAGATCCAGAAGATTAGCGTATTATCCATCACAGTCAGGAATCCTGGTTGGCTCATTTATAATCTGAGTAAGGCCGGTGTTTATTACAAAAGACTCGGCTTCGAGACTTCGGCTTCGTTTGTCGTTGATATTTGAAATTTTGAGACATTCGATATGGTGGACACTGAAGTCACCGAATATGGAAATTTCGGCACTGAGATGATTGATTTGCAGAAAGTCAATGGTGTTTGCAAGTAAAGAGAATAGTGCTGTATATGATATATCGCTTGGTGGTCGATAAACGCTGCATGTGAGTTTGGTTATCTTCTGTGACATTATTTTGAACCACATAATACCAAAGTTTCGGGGTTCCAGCATTTCCTCTCGTTGACAGGAGAGATTGCTTTGGATAAAAAGAGATATTCCAAAATTACGTATGAATGGGGAGTGGAAACCATAGCCAGGATATAGAAAATTGACGGGGTTTATTGAAGCTCTGTCTTTGGTTTCTGTGAGTGTAAGAATATGAGGACTATTTGTTTGCAGATGTTGGTGCTCTGAGTTTATATGTGAGTTGAGTCCTCTGATGTTGCAGAAATCGATTTTGAAGTTGCTAGTGTTAGAAGGACGCTGCTGACTACTGTCAGAAATAGTGGTTTTCGAATAACTGCTGCAGGATGCTTACCTCAAATCAGCGCCCCCTCCCGGAGATCCGATTGGGGAGCTATTTTACCTCCGGAGTATTTTGACCCTAGGAGCGACATCATGCTCTTTTTGTTGTATTCCCACCATTCAAATCGAAAAAAGCTGAATTGAGTTTTTATTATCTTCTCCTGTACATACATAGAACTGAATATCAAACAAAAGTTCAGCATTTCATTTTGAATTTTTTTCAGAAGGTGGAAATAGCCAGAAAGGTTGAAGAGGTCTAACTGAAGAGACAATAGTTGATTTAAACTGTTTTCAGTATTTCATTCGTAATTAATGATTTTGTCATGAAATATACTTACGATTGAAAAATGTTTTTGTTTGTCTCTGATGCCATTAAATTTAACTGATACCAGTCTTTCAGCAAAATTTCGTTTCGCCATTTCTAAATCATCTTCAGGATTATTATCGTTATCTGACCAGCTTTCGTATCGTATTGGAGAATTCTGATGGTGAAAACGTTCGCTATCGAATATATTCTCTATATCATTTTTTGCTTTATCAGGGTGTAGTCTCACTAAAGCTTGGGTTCCATGTACAAACAGAAGAGTTCCATAAAATACCTAAAAAAGGTTAAATTCATGTATGAGTGGAGTGATAATTTATTAGGTGAAATTAAAATGACTGTGAATCAGTAGAAAATGTTTTCTCATTGTAGGAACTGCAAGAAGAGTTTTTTTTCACAAAAATGGCCCAGCACCGTATAATCAATAGGCGAATTTTAAATTTCTATACAAAAGAAACCTCATAGTTTTAGTGAAATTCATCAACACAAGAAACGGTTTCAGATATTTTTTATTGTATTGCTTATTGAAAAATAATTGACATAATTTTTTTGTAACGCATGATCAAGCCATGAATTATTGAATGAGCATAAATATCAAATGTTACCAAAACTTACCTGTACCAAAAACATTTTGTGCCGGAATTTGGTACTTTCTTGATTGCGGTTCCCCTATGTTGTGATCCTCTTTATGTAGTTTTCCAGTAGACTGTCATTCCCACCAAATCCACCGAGTGGTTAAAAATGGTATTTGCAAATATCACCTAAACCCAGCATGAGAGATAATATTATTGTAATGGAAATGGTGTAGTTATGTATAGAAATCTGAATTATATACTTATTGAGTTGAGGATGGGTTTATAGGTAAAAATGATTAGGATTCATTCAAGTTACCTATTTTTGGAGTACACGAAAAAAGTACATGTTTGTTTGATTGATATATAGAACTGATATTGAAGGAAAGTTATTTTCACCTTCCACAATCTGAAAAAAAACATACAAATTGTAATGAAACACTCTAAACATGTGTAAAACAGGCAAACTTTTTTGTTCACTTCGATAAGATACTGTGTAAATTTAAAGTATTTTCCAGAAAGAGAAATGTTTTCTCTCTCTATACTTTTGACTTTTGCTTCCATTCAGGCGCATTAAGCCATGTCGATCGTGGGGTTACAGTTTTGTCTGATATATACCTTCTTATTTTGCTAGCTATTTGGGTTGATCTTTTTTTCTAGTAAATGTCTTCTGTGTTGAATTTTCTTATAGGGTAGACGTATGACACAAACGAACGGCATGGTTATGAATGTTTTAAGGATGTGTAGAAGTGGTATATACTTATAGTTGTTAAAAGTAGTTATTTATTCAGGTCATTCTTGTTGTGAACATTTTACAGTTTGATATTGTTATAATCAATATTTTGATTGATTCATTTTAATATTTTTATGTTAAGTTTACTTAATACTGTTTGATTGGTTAATGGGACTTGGACTCCATTTTCAATAAGTTGGTGGACCAGTGTCCTGTTTTCATTCTAATTATTATTGTTATACCTCGTCTCTACATTTTCGGGAATTTTAAATACTATGCTTCTTCAGGGTATTCTGAATGTATTTTTTGGTCATTTTTTCCTCAGAGTTGTATGTCTCTTGCCCATTGTTTTCTAAAATCATTCCAGATATTGTTTTAAATAATTGGGAATAGAGAATGTTTATCTAATTTGATATTCAGTTAAACATTAAGAATCGTGCCAACCTTTGCTAAATTATCTGCTTTCTCATTTCCATCAATGTTTGAATGCCCTGGAATCAACGCAAATGTAAACTCAATGTCATTCATTTCAACCATATGTAGATATATTATGCTTAATTTTAATTATAATGTAGTATGTTTTTGCACTGAACTTCTTGTTAACAATTCTGTCCAATGAACATTGGAGTCACTTAGTCACTGAGTCACTGAGCTGTGCATGCCTATACCTGCATTACAGTCTTGCTTGGAGGAATCTGTTCACATTAGATTCCTTGATATCTTCTTCTGTTGTGCACATAACATTTTGCCTTGTATTCATGTACCTTTTACTCAAATTAAGGTCCTTGATCTGAATATCTTGTATATGTGTCCTTCATAATCATCTTTGAAGAATGTGATAACTTTCGTTTTGTGTAGGTACGAAATCATTATATTTTATGATTTTTTTAGGTTTTGACTCATTAAGAGGGTTTCTTAGTTTTTCAGTATCCTTGTTTATTTTTCTATATTTCGCTCAATATTTTCAGCATGTTCATCACTGGGGGTTTATGTCAATCCTGTTTATTATAAATTTCGAAGCTAGCCATTGTTGTCTATATTCCAGTTTCGTTTCTCCAGTTAATGCCAGTATAGCATCAATTAGTGTTGATCTCATAGTACCGGTTATTATTCTTAGTCACAGCTTGAATATTTTGTTCAATTTGTCTAGATTTTTCTTGGTGCATGGTCTGGCGTATGCCATGAGCATACATTAGGATCTGCACCCCACCAAGTTTTGCAAAAACTTTTGATGATGTTCAATTCTTGTAATGCCCTCTTGGTGATATGTTCGATGTATAGGTCCCATTTCAATTTCTGGGTGAACATTATTCCCAAATATTTTTTGCCCTTTTTGTTTGTGATTATTTCTGACACAATTGTTACTTTCATTGAAACCTTTGTTTTTTTATAAGGTATGGTTTCACTTTGGGTATTGTCAATTCTAGTTCCTATTCATCCATTCGTTCTCTCAATAATTTTACTTTCAATGTCCTTGGAATACTGCCCTTTGATTAAAATTACTATATATCGTGTGTATAAGCTAGGATCTGACTTTTTGGTGGAAGTGATATATCGAAGAGTGTCTTATAGATCGTTCAGTATTGTCTGAGAGTAAAATATTTTCAAGAATGCAAACATGTCGCTATATCAAAGAAAGCAACATAGTCGTCTCAAGCAAATAGCACTGCAATTCAGCAACAAAATCATTGAGATATTTCCCTCTATATCCCTTGAGGATGCTGCTAACGAACTATTAAAATAGGGATATGCGACAAAGAACGCGAAAACACCGACAAAGAATGCGAAAATACCGCCAAAAAAACCGCTCGATGTTTTTTCTGATATTACGTTTAAGATAATATTAATAGGCGTCGGACTGGGGGTATTAATATAAATTTTCCATTGATATATTCTGTATGATGAGAAGATAATTAAAAAATACGGTGAAAACTAATTTTGTTTAAATATTTTACTTTGGGAAGGACAATTTGTATTTGAAATAGTTTTTTATTATTTAGAATTGTTACCTTCTACAGATCTATAAAATAATCAGAATATTAAATTTACAAATAAATTCAAATGTAGAAAAGGCAAAAAGTTAATGCATTTGATAAATTAGCTTTATGGAAAAAAAATCGAATTTGTCATTAACTTGAATTTAAAAAATTTTGCATATTAAAAAATATGTATCATCTGGTGACGTTTTAAAGACTCTTTCCATTTTCTTTATCCAACCTATTTATATCAAAACATTATAACTTTTAGTTATGATTCGTCTTTTGATGTAAATGAATTTGATATTATTATTATCATTGTCACTGATAATATCAAATTGATCGTCGGTATGATTGTGAAAATGGATAAAGTATTCAAAACGTCACCAGATAAGTATACAAATAGAATAGATTTTTGCGGTTAGAAATTTAAACATCTGATTTCGAGTTGAACCGCATTCAAAATTTTGCGTTGTTCGACGTTTCGTCTTCGACTTTGGCATTTTCAGGAAGTAGAAAAGTGTGGCTGCACTGACACATACACTTTATATATTCTTGTTGGTTTGGAAATGAAGATTCATATTCCTTATTGGGTTTTATAGTTGATTCAGAAATACTTTAATAGATTTAATGGGAATACTTACTTCGAGTAAGACATTCCGATAATTTTAATCTGAAAAAAGTCTACAGGGATTCGTTGAGTGATTCTTCACTGGATGAATCAGTTTCATTAGGATTGATGACAAATGTAATACTTTTTTCTCCAGATCCACAGATCCAGATCTCTGCTTCGATTCTGATTGTTTTGTGGATACATTTTTCCCAAACTTTTTGGACTGTTTCCAGACAACTGTATAGGTATTTCTTTACTTCACACAGCTTGAAGGTCTTATTATTCCTTGCGATGAATCCTTTAACTTGAGCCCAAACCAACTCTATTGGATTCAATTCACAGTGATAAGGCGGTAACCAAAGAACCGACATTCCTTTAGTCTTCGCCATCTCATCGGTGACATACCTGACGAATTTTGACTTATGACTTTTAGCCAAGTTGAGGAGCTCCGCTTTTAACATGGTCGATTCAAAAGGAATAGCTTTCATTTGTAACCACTCAGTAATATCTGCTTTATTCCAACACGACGTCGGCAGCTTCTCGACTCGTCTACTGTGGTAAGTTGCGTTATCCATTACTATTACAGATCCCTGCGGAAGATTTACAAGTATGTTTTTAAACCATTCTTCGAATACTGTGGCGATGTGATGATGATAATCCCCATTTTTCTTCGATTCAAACACCATCAATCCATCTTTCACGAATCCTTCACTGCTGCTTACGTGAGTGATGATAAGGTGACGACCTTTTCCAACTAGAATTTTCAAACCAGTGGACCAACATTCCATAAAGGCTTGTCTTCCACTTTTGATGTTCTGATCTTGCCAAACCTTCGAGACGGTATAACCCTCATTGACCCATGTTTCATCCAAATAAAAAATAGATTTACCTAGTGTTCTGACTTTCTTTATTTCTCTTAAATAGTTTCTTCTCCGTTCTACAATCTCTAATTTCTCTATTAACATGCTCTTTCTATCTTGCTTTCCAAAAGTGAAATTCAGCTCATGTAATATCTTCCATAATCGAGTTCTTCTTATATCAGGAAATAACTGTCTCCACGTTTTTTTCAATCCCCTTCAACTAATCACCTATTTCCTATTTGTTGGAGAATGTCTTGGTTACTACTGGACATATTTTAACATTTTTTGTCATAGTAGATTTGTTATTTATTTTTCAAGAATAAATATTGTATTTTCGTTGTATACATTCATTTATTCAATTCGTTGAGACTAAATGATTTGAATGTATATTATAGTGTAGATATAGAACATCACAGATCCGTGTATTTGATCTCTTATTTATTATACGGAAAATCAAGTTGGCTGGATGGATTGGGATTCTGTATTGTATTAGATAATTTGTAACTATTCACGTTATCATAAGGTCCACTGATATCCAAAAATACTGTTTCATTTTACCAAATGCGACCTGTATGTATGATACAGAGTGAATTATGTAATATATGCCATTCAATTCTGTTTTCTACTATTTTATCAAGTATTTTTAATATACTTGAAGCTTTAGCTATGGGTCTATAATTCATATAGTCTTCCATAGACTGAGGAACAATTCGCTCATTTTGAATCGTTTAATTTTTGCCGTGGGTGAGGTGCTGTAAGGTGTTGGGAGTGTGAGGTGTTGTAACAAGTCTGTGGCTATATTTTTATCTGGTAATTGTTTATTGATATCAGCCTCGTTGTTTGAAAACTGCTTATTCACACCACACAAATATGATGGGTTTAAATCCCTGTCAAGTGTCAAGCAGATCTCTGTGAGTCCCTCGCATTTTTTCTTTTTTAGAAAGTGTCTAGTTATCACTATAATTTTTTTAAATTCTAAATATTTATCTAGAGTAGGATCTCGTTTTCAGATGCCTAATATTTTATTCCTTTTTTGTATGCATCGGTCACATTCCTGACCGTACCAAGGGCGTTTAGTTTTGCTTTATTCATAATTGTTTCTTATAGGTATGGCAATATCAGCTGCTCCATTTATTAGTCCCATCAGTGTGTTGTATGAAGATGTATTATCATTATTACCATTTTCGATGAGATATTTATGGTATAACTCCCAATTTGCTTTCCGGAATATTCGCCTTTCTTTTTGGTTATATCTTCAACCCAGTGTTTATTGTATTGACAACTACACATAGTTGGAAAATGATCAGTATTTCGTAGCGATTTCATTCAATACTACTGTGATATCTACAGTGCTAGAATTATTCCAAGGACTGCTCATACGTGTTGGTGTTCCGTCATCAAGTATTACTAAATTGTCATAATTGTCATCTTCCAGTAATGTGATTAATATATTACAATTTCTATTGAAAGGATATATTTTCAGGAGAGATTAATTTTTAATACATCTTGATACAAAAAATATGGGAATCTTCCAAAAAAAGGAAGAAAGCAATCAATTTCAAAAATTAACTCTTTACAAAGATGTGTAGATCATCTAAAGGAGTAACTTTCAGACACAAACTGGATGGAAAAGCTCTCTCGAAACAGCTATTTTCACATAAATATTGAATGAAACGAAAAAAAAAATAATACTTTCGAAACAAATACTTTCATATGAATGCTTTTCTCTATTCCGTTTGTATTCCAAACAATCGTAATGGAATCGAATCAGATATCATTCACAGAATTCCCACACAATATAATAAATGAAAGAAGTAAAATTTGACTTACATGGAACACTGTCATCATCACTGGTAGATATCCGATATTTCGCCGTAAGACACTTGCCTTATCGGCTTTCAGTACCAAATAAGGATAACTTTATAAGACTCTGACATTTTTTGTACCAAGATGGAGAAGAAGAAAGCCAAAACCTTTCTTTTCCAAAAATTACCGTTTCTATTTCTATATGTACTCTCCCAGAGTTGATGATGTGCTTTCAGATCCCCTCTTAATACAATTTCACCCTTCTAAATTTTTTATCATTTTACTGAATAAATGAGTTGAAATTTAATTATTGGATGTGCAATACATGTTGATGATATTTAGATCTTTTATTATTATGATTAAACTTTGACATCGTTCTTTATCAAAAAATTTTCATTCAATTGTTCTTCATTTATATTTGATGCTACCAGTTTCGGACGCTTCACGGTTTCCGAACAACTAGCTTCCATGTTGTATAGCTTTTCATTCAACGCGCTCTCGAAGTAATCTGAAGAATATCACTAAGACTAAGACTAACTAACCCCTCTACCATGGCTAATTCCTACACAATATAATAAATGAAAGAAGTAAAATTTGACTTACATGGAAGGAACACTGTCATCATCACTGGAAGATATCCGATATTTCGCCGTAAGACACTTGCCTTATCGGCTTTCAGTACCAAATAAGGATAACTTTATAAGACTCTGACATTTTTTGTACCAAGATGGAGAAGAAGAAAGCCAAAACCTTTCTTTTCCAAAAATTACCGTTTCTATTTCTATATGTACTCTCCCAGAGTTGATGATGTGCTTTCAGATCCCCTCTTAATACAATTTCACCCTTCTAAATTTTTTATCATTTTACTGAATAAATGAGTTGAAATTTAATTATTGGATGTGCAATACATGTTGATGATATTTAGATCTTTTATTATTATGATTAAACTTTGACATCGTTCTTTATCAAAAAATTTTCATTCAATTGTTCTTCATTTATATTTGATGCTACCAGTTTCGGACGCTTCACGGTTTCCGAACAACTAGCTTCCATGTTGTATAGCTTTTCATTCAACGCGCTCTCGAAGTAATCTGAAGAATATCACTAAGACTAAGACTAACTAACCCCTCTACCATGGCCTTTACACTTCCAACAAAAAATGTAATATTTTCTTCCTACGGAAAAAGCCAAGTCGGTCCTATTGATGGATGTAGTGTGCCTGTTGACGTTATAATTTAAAGGAATATCTATGTATACCGCCTTCAAAAAAACAATGGTTGTTCAATCCCCTTCAACTTATTACTTATTTGTTGGAGATTGTCTTGGTTACCACTGGAAATACTTTCACATTTGTCGTTGTTGATTTGTTAGTTAGGAATGAGATTTTTCAAGAATTTATTTTGTATATTCATTTATTCAATTCGTTGAGAGTAAATGATTTGAATGCAGTACGCCTATGGCTCTAATAGGTATAAATCCGTTATTCTGGCCGACTCTGTCAACGTGTTCGCAAAGAAACAGTGCTTATTTAAAGTGTAAGATATATTTTTTAAATAGATGGGTGTAAATTACTAGTATAGACTTACCGGCTTATACTTGTAACCCAGTTGATACAAAAGATTTCAAGCAATGCTACGAATATATACATTAAGAAGGTTGCTTGTTTTTTATCAAAACCACCCTAGACATATGTAAAAGACATCTCATCAATATCTTCGACGACTATTTGTACGGATATTTTGGATGACTTTAATGGACAAATGCGTCCAAGATATATGTTGTTTTATTTCATGGAACAAGAGCATAAATAGTTTTCTCCTTTTTTTAATCTGAAGACTGGCTATGAAAATCAATAAGGCTGAGTATCAAATGAAAAATTCTTCGATGCAAAATATTTTAATTCAAGTCACAGCTCCAAAAATACTTATACTATATGAACTCAATGAAAATGAAATTTGAAATGTTCATGACATTTGCAACCCACTTTGACGATTTTCTCATGAACGGCGACACACTGAGTATCTGACAGCATTTTTCCGAAAACAATTTTTTTCTGCAGTGTGGTGCATTCTGGGTCATTGACGTAACATACATCCTGAAAATAAAATATATTGAATTCATCATCAATTCATCAATTCATCCAATTCTAGTAGCTTTTATCTTAATGTAAACCAGTTTATACCTATACATCGCCAATCGTAGCATCAACCGGCTGGATAAAAAAGATTCATAATTTCATGACAGTTTATGACAAAAATAAAGGAATTTGGCAAAATGTACTGTGTTTCAAAGAGAACACAACTCCGATAACATCCAAGGAAACTACCTACTGTGTAAGTAGTTGGGGGAGATGAAGGTTTCCAAACTTCATTTCGAAATATTAAAAAAAATCGTATATATCTCTCCTCGATACACTTTTCAGACACAATGTGTATTATTAATTCCTACATTGAATGACCATAGATTTATACCTATTATTGTTAAATAAATAGGAATATCACAATCTAAATTTTCATTGCTTGTCCTAACAAAACAACCCGATTGAAATGGAAATGTACAGATATAATAAGAATTTGATATTCTATTATATTCCTGAATCTACCTCCTTTACACTTTGTGATAATGGGGAAGGCCAGGATGGGCCAATTCAGACTGGAAAACTCACCGAACTACAGAAGAGCGAACCGAACAGAAATTTTGGAACAAGTGGAGGAGCACATATTGAAAATCAT